CCTGAAGACTGCCTCCTGCCTCCTGCACGTGAAGTGCCTGGGAAGTCCCTATGAACTACCTCCTGACTACCTGCAGCCTGTAGGGCGGGCCAGTCTTATATAGTGCTGGGCCGTCCAGGAGGCTGCTCTTGCCAATGCCAAAACGTGCCAGACCCTGGCGTTGAAGTTCAAACAAAGGTTGTCTTGAAAACAGGCCCAAAATGGCCTGTGCTAAAACCCTGGTCTGGTGCCTAAGTTTCAGGGCAGGTTGAATTTATGAGGGCCTGAAAATGGCCCTCGTTTTCAGGCTTTTAGGATGAAACAACACAGGGCCTGTAGGCCCTCGTTTTCAGGCTTTTTGGCTGAAACGACACAGGGCCTGTAGGCCCTCGTTTTCAGGCTCTTAGGCTGAAACGACACAGGGCCTGTAGGGCCCTGAATTTCCGTCTGGTCGGGCCCTGCAGGCCCGTGTGGCTGCGCAGTATGCCACACGGGGTGGTCGAGGAGGGGACGAATATAGGATTTTCACCCTGCAACGAAACTTTAACAACTGGGATTTGACCCGGCGGAATGGGCTTGGAAGACGACTTCCTCAAAGACGAGAACTGAGCATCGAACCAACATCTTGCACTACAGTAACCTCACGCGCCTGGGCTTCAGGCTCAGATGGAGAACAGTGAATACCCAAGACACACTGTCAAGAAGATGGGAGAAGCGCTTATGGGTGACACCGCCCAAGACACACTGTCAAGAAGATGGGAGAAGCGCTTACGGGTGACGCCGCTGGACCCGTTTTCCAGCAGGTGCTGCTCCCCACCAATAGATGGAGCCTCCCCAGGAGTGCTAGTGGCGCCTGCTCTTATCAGCACCCCTAGCATCCACTCGGGCTGTTTAAAAAAAAGGAGGAGGAGGGGGCTCGCGGTCCACACTGAGATCTCCTGGCAAGTTCCCTTAGCCATCAGGAGCACCCGCATCTGAAGTACTCGGTGGCTCATTTACTGCTCTACGCACTCCCATCCCGGTCAACTGATGACTAAGCAGGCGACAGTCAGCTGCAGCCAGGCGAGAGTTCGGCGACATCTGTGCGATCTGTGATGAGGGAGCACCAGAAAACCCGCTGCACATTGCCAGAGTGGAGACGATATGTGCTTCCATAACAGGCACACCCTTGCCATGCAAGACAGTCACACGACTCACGGAACTTCAGGAACCGGCATTCAGAGAGAAATGGCAGAGGACCCTCTGTCGAAGACTCCGACCCCTCACACTCGGGATAACGTGGAAAAAAAGGCGCAAGGAAATTATCAACGCCCACATTACTCCAATGGCCGAAGCGTGGGAAAGCCTTGTCCAACTCGTACGAGTAGAATATCAAGCGGAGTGGCACAGAACAGTTAAGCTCATCAAAGACGACCCTACCAAAAAAAAAGAGGAAATGATTGACAAATGTATGAGGGAGAGCCTCGGGACCGGGAAATTGGGCAGCATAGAGGGCAGCGCAATGAGACTAGTTTGGGAGATCACGGAGGGTCAGGCGATCATTCAGGAGCATCTGACTCGCTGGTGCTCGCTCGCTCGCAAGAAACAAATATAGGTGTGGGCTTAGCGTGAAAGAACCACCCACGGACTCGGACAAGCGGTCTCGGAGTGAAAGTTTAGACAGTCGTGCCAGGGTTAGGGTTTAGGGCTTAGGGGGCTAGGGATCGAGGCCGAAGCAGCTTGGGGCTAGCGGCTCATGGGATAGGTTGAGGAACAGGCCAGCACTACCCGAGTGGGGTCTGACCAGGGAAACAGAACCCAGGGGCCAGAGGCGTGTGGCTCAGGCCGCCAATTTCTTTTGTCGACGGTGCGCCGGCGCCGACTTTTCCGGATAGGCGACGAGTTTCTTTTCAGCAAGGCTGGGACCGTGTACTGGCAGTCTAAAAGCGAGAAGAATAAGAGATGAGGCAAAGGACGGAAGAGAGAGAAAAAAAAAAAAAAAAAAAAAAAAAAAAGGAGAAAGGAGAAGAGAGGGGGATTATAAAAAAAAGAATAGGACAGGGATGAACTATGATAACCTGGTTTAGGGAGTCTAGTGACTGGGTACCAGCAGGAGTCTCCCGGCTGCACGCAGCCACCGCGTGAGGGGGAGCCATGGGGATCTTTGCAGTTGTGATATTGGTCACCATTTTCTTGCTTGCCGGGAAAAGTAGCTACAATAGAAGGAAATAGGCTCTTGTTCTGCTGGTTTAGGGAGGGAGACAGGCTCATACCTTATTAGGGATGCAGAGTCGTTGGTCCCAAATAGGCTAATAGCAGATATTTAAATAGGCAGTGAAAAGGAACCGAAAAGTCGGGGACAGGGTAGAAGAGGGTAGAAAGTAGTTATAGTTCATGAGGACAGTGGAAGCGACAAGGGGAGTTAGGGTTTAGGGTCTTAGGTCAAGA